GCACAAAAAAATATTGTAAATATTTGGAGTAACAATTTTATTACAGTAAAAGGACCCCCCCTTCCCCCTGTACTCAAAATACTTCCTTTTGTCTGAAACAAAAGACACACATTTACTCCATTCTTGGCAATATATCTTTTATTATAATGTTTTTTTTAAATTCATGCATTTACTGTATCTTTTGATCACCCCTTATATGTATCCAGTAATGAAATATAGGAGCAGGATGAAAGATCTCCATGTCCATGGATCAGTAAGATTAACACTGTCACAGTGGCCATATTACTAAAAGCAGCCTACAGGTTTAATGTACTACCCATCAAAATACCAACAACCGTTCTGGGTGTGATGGCACTCGGTGGACTGAAACAGGAAGAGGTCAGCCTGCACTGTGTAGAGAGACCCTGTCTCAAAACAAACAAACAAAAAAGCCAGCAGCATTCTTCAAAGAATTAAAAAGAACAGTCCTAAAATTCATGTGGAAACAAAAGACCCAGAATAGCCAAAGTGATCCTGAACAAAGCAGTGCTGGAGATATCAAATTCATAGTAACAAAAACAGCGTGGTACTGGCTTAAAAATAGATATGTAAACCAATGGAATAGGAGAGAAAAGACACACAAAAAAATATGTAAGTACATCTGTTTGATTCTTGAAAAAGATGCTGAAAACATGTTGGAAAACAGACAGCCTCTTTAACAAATGGTGCCAGGAAAACTAGATAGCCACATTCCCATCTTTCAGCCCTGTTCAAAAAGAAATTTAAAATGAATCAAAGACCTAAGTACAAGACCTGAAACTTTGAAACTGCCAGGAAGAAAAACATATGGGAAACACTTCACAACCTAGGCACAGACAGTGACTTCCTAAATAGGACTCCAGTAGCACAGGCAATCGCAGCAACAGTTACCAAACGGGATTACATCAAATTAAAAAGATGCATAGCAAAGGAAACAGTTGTGCAGAGACAGTCTACAGAATGGTAGAAAATCTTTGCCAGCTACTTTTCTGACAGGATTCATATGCAGACTATAAGAGATTAAGTTGTAGAATATAAAGGACTGAGAAAACACCATGAAACGAAATAACCCAGTCAGTAAATGGACAAAATGAACCAAATAGACCCGTCTCAAAAGAGTAATTACAGATGATCAGGAAGTATATGAAAAACTGTTCAATATTAGCTGTTAGGGAAATGCAAATGAAAGCTGTTGAAATTCCATCTCGTCCTAGTAAGAATGGCTATCATCAAGCATACAAAAAACAGCAAATGCTGATGAGGATGTGGGAAAAAGGAATCTTTATATACTGTTGATGGGAGTATAAATTAGTTAGCATATATGAGAATCAGCAGGAAGATTCCTCAAACAACTAAAACTTGAGCTATCATTGATCCCAGATGTACCACTCTTAGGTATATTCCTAAAGAATTAAAGTCAGCATACTGTACAGATGTTTGCATACTCATCTTTGTTGTGGCACAATTCATAATAGCAAAGTTATGAAAACAGTGCCTATCAACTGATGAGTGGATTAAAAAAAATGTATGTACCCAATAGAATATTAATCAGCCATAAAGAAGATTGAAATCATGTTAAAATAAGCCAGACTCAGACAAATACCTCATGTTTTCTGTTCTATGTGAAATAAAAAGACAACATGAAAGCAGGGGGAGACTTAGAGAAGAGGAAAGCTATAAAGAGGAAAGGAAGGAGGAAGGGTAATGGAAGTAATGAGGGTTGGAAATGATTAAAGTATATTATTACTTGCATTTACAATCATGCCAAGATGAAACCTATTCTTTACAATTAATATGTAGTAATTCTTTTTAAATTGAGAAAACTGACAATATGACAAAATGTCTCATCAGGATTCATAACTATATTTGGGTCAAATTAGTCCTAGATTTTGAGATGATTTTTATTTACAGTCAAGCTTATATATGTGCTTATCTATATTTGTTTTATTTACTCTGGTGGTAAAGATTGGCAATAAAATGTAAAAGTGCCCAAGTGAAAAGACTGGAAGGACACAAACCTCTGGAGATATAGGCATTATTCACAGTGAAACCCTTGCTTAAAAAGCATGGCAACTTAGAGGGGTCCTAGTTCTGTTTTGTTTTATTTAATTCTGAATTTATTTCTTCCTTTCCCTGTCTGCCCTCCTCCTCCAAATATTTCAGATACACCACCTTTCAGTAATTTTTGTTTTCCAAAATACTTCTGTATTTAGAAATCTCCAGAAGATGATGATGGAGAGGAATAATCTGTCCTAAGCACTGTAGTAGTTTTATTCTTTTTAAAATTTTAATTAATTAATTAATTTTGCAATGCTGGACTTGAACCAGCTTAACTCTTTTTAAAAGTTTGATATTGGGTCTTCCTGAGTTGCCAAGATTGTTCTTAAACTTGAGATCCTTCTGCCTCAGTCTTTAAGAGCGCTGGAAATGCAGATATGTGGCATCATGCCCAACAGTTTCTTTGCAGACCTCATTTCCACCCACCATGGAAGGAGTGAGCAGTAATCCCATTTCATATATGAGGAAACGGCTTACAGAGATCAAACAATGTTTATAAGATGATGCTACTTGTAAGAGCATAAGTTTGGTCTCACTGGTTTCAGGCTCAGATTTTTTTCTGTAGTACATCAGTATGTCTTCTTGCTCTGAAATAGTAAAAGCCTATGAGTTTTCATTCAGACTTCAAAGTGTGCCAAGAATCTTTTCAGAGGTATACTGACCTCTTTCTTCTCTTAACATGTTGAGTAAATATTACTCAGAAATGGGTGTATCGAACAGTTACTTTCTACCAAGTATAGTATATTAATAAACTCTTAGATTTTTAGTCTCTTCAGAGTGCTGAACAAATGCCCAAAACAACATTATGAGGAGAGCAGGAAAAAGATTCTAAAAGCATACTGTAAGGGCTGGGGATTTTGCTCAATGGTGCTGGCACCTGCCTGGCAAGCACAAGGTCCTGAGTTCGATCTCTGGTACTGGGAGCGGTGGTAAATAAATAAAAGCATACCATATTGATTGCCAAGAGTTAAAAACAGGTTTTTATTAACATATATAATGTCATATTCAGTTGATATTTTATCTTAAAATATATTTATGGTATTTATAATTTTTCTAATCTCTGGAAAGGTATAAAAAATAATTTATAGTTTTTTGAAAGTTCTTTATTTTCCAGATTAGTTTTTCAGTGGCACTCCACATGATATGCTTTACTTCCTTTTTGAGATCTTTATCTCAGTCAAGGAAGACCTGATTTAGTGCTTTGGTCTCCATCCCAGTTTCAAAATTTTGTGTGTTTGAGAAGTATTTTTTTTTTTTCCTGAAGAGTTTTCACTTCCTCCTTCTCTTAGTCATATTCAGCTGGGTGCTGGTATAGCATGTAAAATTTTGGTGGAGCATTTGGGTTACTTTTATATTCAAATTACTGTAACAGGGGTGCTATTTAGGTGTATTAGTTTCTAGAATAATACTTAGTTTTAAAAAAATAATGCACATGATGTAAAATATAGTTTTAATTCAACAGCTATGATAAGTTTGTAAACAACTATTTGTGCAGATGTGCTTACTTTAGTCTATTCCCTAAGGAGATGTATGTAAATTGCATATAAAGCTCCAAAGATATTAAAACTTTAAATATAAATGAAACTTATATGGAATAGAAAAATAAAGATGTTTATTTTTATAATATTAAGGGAGTTTTCCAAATAAATAATCTAGAGGCATTAAAGGAAAAAATTGATGGAATATTTCTATTTAATCAAAGATACCATGGACAAAGTAAAAAGACTAATGACAGACTAAGGAAAGTACTTAAAAGAGAAAGGATTATTATATAAAAGTTTCTATGAAATAATAAAAGATAAATGAACAGGAGAAATATCAGTAAAGAAAATAAAGCTCACAAAGCAAATACAGATGACTGATAAACATACGACAGTTTGTCTCAATAATCAAATTCAAAGTGAAGATATAATTATTCACTAGTTAGGTTGTCAAAGACTACTGTGGTTCAGTCAGGAAGAGACTGCATAAGGTATTTCAGTATGAAAAGAATTATTTTAGAGAATTGTTTACCCAAATGTTGGAAAGTGGAATAGTGAAAGGAATATTGAAGTTGTAACCGAGAAATTACTAGCAACTCCGTGAAGCAGCTTCCACTGGAGGACTAGAGAGACAAAAGTGAAGAGGTAGGTAGGACAGTGGAGGAACAGCCACCAAGGAGCTGGCAATTGGTATCTGAGCAGACCCTGCAAGGTGGTGAGGGAGCAGCAGAAAGTTCTGAAATGGTAACTAGTTGCAGGTTGTGTTTGGAAGGAGGTCAACAAGAACAGAACCAGCAAGTGTCTTCCCTAATCCTCTCCACTCTCACCTTTCAGGTTGCCACCAATACAATACCTCCCACTGGCAGAACGTGATTCTAGCTGCAGGGAAGACTAGGAAATACTAGTGTTTGCAGTCTCGCAGTCTCATTGTTGCAGAGCTGTAGAACAGAAAGCATGTGGTTTCTAACTAGCACAGGTGCTTATGACTTGGACCAGCAGGGTGTGACGTGAAAGAGGGCCAACCTTTTAGGAAGATAATTTGCTAATAATGTAAAAATTGTGAATGTGAATTCCCTGTGACTAATTCTGTATTGAGATAATCAGCCCATAGAAATATAAGTTAAAATATGGATACACACACACACACACACACACACACACACACACACGTACGTGATGTTGCATTGTGATATTTTATCTAATTCTGGTAATTGGAAATAGCCTATGTGTCCATCCTTGGAGGATTGACTTGTTATATTGTGTATCTATTTAATGGAAAATGAGACTATAAAAAGAATTTTAACTATGCAGTTGAGTATTTTATATGACCTAGTATATTTTGTCAAATCCAAGAATGTCATAATTTTGAATCTAACAAGATTTTTGAGCTGCTATAAATTTAGAGGTAACAAGTAACATAATTTCAAGTGTATATTTTTTCTCTCACCAGTTATGAATGCAGGAATGAGGAAATATTTCCTACAAGCCAATGATCAGCAAGACCTAGTAGAATGGGTAAATGTCTTGAACAAAGCTATAAAAATTACAGTAAGTATTTGTGTTTTGGGGATTTTTTCAACATATGGAAGTAATGTTTACATTTTGAAAATGTATCTCCTGAATCCACGTCAACAGCTTACCAACCTGTTACATACTCAAACTTTGTTTAAAAGATATGTTGAGAGTATGAAAATATTTTCTTGTACATGGTGATTATCAGCCCTTCCATCAGCCTGTATCATCCTTTTTACCCAGTATGTACCTAATAAGGATATACTGTATATCACTGTAGATTTTTAGCCACTGTTTCTAGGGGAAGGTGCATGTAGCACTGTCAGGAGTAGGTTATGAGGCTTCCTGCCACCTATCCAGGTGATGGGAATAGGCATTCCTGTTTTCTGAGCCTTGATAGAATGGCACTTGAAGGTGAGGGGAGATGAAGGGCTTAGAAATGAGGTGCAGACATAGGGATGGGGCCTCAAAAGCTGTGGAGGCCAGAGGGTCCTGCCAATTTGGCCCTGAGGAGTAGGTCTCAGCCTCTGAAATATCTTTTTCACTAGTGTTTTTGCCTTCAGTTTCAGAGCTTGGTGCCCCTGTCCCCACTTCAATGTGACAGCCTCTTCCTTCCATCCTGGGCTGTTCTTCTGTTTAGTTTTCTGATGAACATTACTACTATTTATTGATTCTTTATACTGTATCAGGTCTTGATAAAAGCTTTACTTAAACCTTCTGGAAAAGTGAGATGTAGAAAGATCGAGTGATTTCTGCTATTTTCAAAGCAAGTAAGCAATGGAGCTGAGCACTCAAGCCAGCCTGTGAACTAAGAGCCCTCTTCTGATAACTTTCCTGAGAGTAGAACCAAGCTTTTAGGGTGCTATTGATGATGGCAGTGGTTAGGTCTGCTCCTTGGCTGTACGTTTTCCTGCTTACAAACTGCCAGAGAAACATTATAGGTTGCCTGGAAAGGGTCAGGAAAGAGTTACTGGGCAGGGTTGTGCCAAGTGAACTGTATTTTTAGTAAAATATACTTATTAACTGTCACTAAAAGATATCCTAAAAATCAGCATGTTATTTAGCTTCCATCTAAAATGAATGACTCAGTGTCTGTGTCACAACACAATAGAATTAATATAGCTAAAGCTGATTTAGATAGAATTTTTTGTCATGCATCAGAACAGCTTGTTACCTTGTGACAGAAGACGCCCACACACTGCATCTGATCTGTACATAAAGCAGAAGTTATTTTGGGTTTGTACAGTTTCAGGAAAGTGATATTTTTTAACCAATTCAGAAGTATATATTCTTAAAAGGTTTTAACTGATTATTTTTACCTCTTAAGAAATGTTAACTTGGAAAGTTTCTTTAGAAATGTGTAGTGACATTACTCAGTTTGTTTTTTATAATTTGCAATAGTGCTTTTAGAAAAAAATGTAGTACGTGGTCTCGGGCTTTTTACTATTTTGGGTGTTATTGAATTGCTCTGTGTGATTTACTCATGTGACGAGTATTTAAAATTGATTATGGGTTGAGTAATTGTTAAAGTGTGCACTTTTAGTTAGCTCTTGTGGTCTTGTAGCTTTATTTTACATGTTGAATTTTTTAGTTTTTAAGTAAATTTGTTGGTAATTTTGTATTTTCATAATTCACATTAAGATATAAGTAACTGTACATGTAAAATATAGAAATCCTTATTTCTGCAAGAAAATGATTATATTAATGTGAATATAAAATTGATAGCACTTTCTAAAAAGTCAACATTAGATAGATACATACTTGTATTTAGCTCATAGGACAGCAGTGAAGGAACTCCCCATACTTTAATAAAATACATTTTATGTTTATTTTTATAAAAAGCTTAATTTTTGATTTCATATGCATTTTATACACATTGTATTAGAGTGAAACTGCTGCTGATTTGCATATAGATTCCTTAAAAAATTAAAATTTCTGTTTCAAATCGTTCATTTTACCTTCTTATGAAATAATTTCACATGATATTTTGGTCAACTATGTAAATTAGTGGTCTGTTGAGTACTATGTGACATATAAATTTAAAATCATTAGAAATCCAAAATTAGATTTTGAGACTGTGGTTTCAATATAAAAGTGGTTAGAGGGTAGTGGATGAGAGAAAGGTGATTATTTAACTACTTCTTAATTATAGTACCTTCTGTTTTAATGCCTTATTCTGTTTTTATCTTTCTTTGCTTTCCTTAAGTCTATGTGATTGTGGGTGGCTTGTCTGCCCTTTGAAATTTTTTATCCTTTTTTTTTTTTAAGAACACTAGTAGAGAAACCAACCTTAGAGTTTAGAAAATCAAAATTTAAAGTATACTTGAAACTATTTGTGTTAATTGCAACATAAATATGGTAGTTTCTGGTCCCTTACTGATTATTAGGAGATGTTCAAGATGTATATAGTTTATTTCTAAGTAGAAATCCACTGTTGTTGTTGTTGTTTTTTGTACCAGGGATTGAACTCTGGACCTGTGCTTGTGAGTCAGGCGGCAGAACTACTGAGCTAAATCCCCAGGCCAATCTACTGTTTTTTTAAGTGTCCTTTTCTTTTGAAATTGTGGCAAAACTATTCTATAAGTTTGATTTTTTTAAAAATGATAACTGAGAGCAAGTAGAAGAAAGAGTAACCTGAATAGAGAGGACCTTGGTCCTTACAAAATGCTCAGTGTGCCCAACAGTGTTAGCAAGGCCTTCTCCTTTACACTAATACTTTGAACTGACAGATCAAGTATGGAGCACTGAGAAAACTCACATGACCCATAAGTTTGTGCTTGAACATCTTGGGTTTCAGTCTATGAGCACTGTCATTATTCTTGGTGAACTAAATGGCAACCTTGCCTTTAACTTTTTGCAAAAGGAAACTGGCATTTTCATTTATGTCATTCATAAATATTGAAATCTATTTATTCCTCTCTACATTCTCTAGTTACTACTTTTTCTTTTCCTATTACTGGAATTTTCTACTGTTAGGGTCATATGCAAATCCCTGCTAGGAAGATATTCAAATCTCTTACAGAAAAAAGCCATATAAAAACAGAAATCAAGGGAAAAGAGAAAGGGCATTAGTCAGAGAAACCCAAGCATATTCAGTATCTAGCACTTGCTCTCATTGCTGTCCCATGAGATACTTTTCTGATTCTCATTAACACTTGGTTGGTTTTGCTGGAGAGAATGGTTTTGAAAATGTTTATTTTAATGGCTGAATTTAAGGTAACTTTTTTTTCAATTACCTATAATTTTAAGGAAGTTACCTATACTTGTATTTTTCCTGTTCTTAGGCTATGATTACAATTTGGATAGTTTTATTGTAAAATGCAATTCTGAGTTAACAATTAGATTTTAACAGTGGAATCATGCTATACTTTGATTTTGTTATAAAGACAAATTAGAAACCAGTGACTTAACAGCATATGCAAAATTTTAATATACTGTCATTTCTGGAAAGACATGGAAAACCAACCTGAATTTTGGAGTATTTGTAGGGTCATAGTGAAGATTTTTCATAGGAACTTCCCATGATAGCTAACCTCTTAACTTCTTGAAGTGAGTAGTATTGACTACTTTTCTTATGGATCATCTCTGAACAACACATCTCATCTAATACAGTTGAGTAGATCATTTTCTCTGTTTCAAATTCCCTTAATGCAGTTTTCTATTCTAAGTGAGATAGCAGCACCATGTTTTCACTGTTGAAATACATGGTGCTGTTCATGAGAAAATACAGTAGGCTCTCAGTAAATTGTTCTAGGGTTTGATAAACTAATTTTGGTTGACAAATTCTCTTTAGAAAGCACTCCAAGATATATAGGATTCAAAGAATCATTCATTATTCACTCCTTTTCCTTTCCTGTTTCTCATTTTCTCCTTTGTTTGGAAGCATGACAAGAGGGTGGAGGGAGAGGAGAGGGAGTTTTAGAAGTCACCCAGGAGACGTCATTTATATTTATGAACATTTATTTGCAGAAATGCTTGCTTTGGAATCTCCTACCTCCCAGTGTCCTCTCATAAATGTAATACGTTTGCTGAATATTTTGCAAAAAGCTTCTTTGAAAATCTTTATCTGCATTGAATTGCACCTTCTCTACAAAGTTGGTTGAATGGCATCATAAAAAATGAGAGCAAAGTTTTGGCACAGTACAGTGTTTCTTGAAGTGTGATTTTTGAAACACCTCCTTCAAAAAATCTGATAACAGATTATTCCTCCATAAAGTGCAATTCTGGGGAGTTTATTACAGATTTATTCAATCAGAATTCCTGGGTACAGACCCTGGAAACCTGAAATTTTTAATAATACCTTATGCACCCTACATCTTGAGAACCTGCTTTTCTCTTGAATCACAAGAATACATGGTTAAATTAGGGAAGGGTGAAGCAGGTGAAGGGAGGACAGGGGTATGGGGAAAAAACAACAACCAAGATATATCATGTAAAGGTACAAGATCCCAATGATAAATGTAATTGGTACTTTGAATGTACCAATAAACTTAATGAAAAAAAAAAGAATACATGGTTAAAGTCTGTCAATACATTATGAATGATATCCTTTATAGTTCTACTTGTACCTTGTTAAATCAGAATTAACTATGTGACAAGCATATTGTTTAACCTTGACTTAAATGTTTTTATATTTGTACCTTTGTGATTGTTAAGTGTTTTCACATTTCTGAAGACTGCAAGATCCCTGAATGCTCTTTAAATCATTGGAGATTGACTAAATCGTGTTGAACATGATAATCGATGTTGAGTGTTTTATTATATTATCTCCATTGCCTTTAAAATTCTCAATTTAGGGGCCAAGAATTTAACTCAGTGGTGCCTCCACCTGCCCCTCAAGTGCAAGGTCCCAAGTTTGACCCCTAGTACCAAAAAAAAAAAAAATCACAATTCATATGTAGACTATAAGGTTAACAGTTTGAAGAAAAAAAATTCATGATTAGCTGAGTACCTTATTCCCTGATTAGGTCACATGAGAGCTAAAATATGTCTTAATCATTTATAATAAATACTCTAGTGCTTTGATTCCACTTTAG